CAGGAGCAGTGAGAGGAGCAGGCATGGAGGCCTCTTCATCAGCTGCTGCTGCTGCTGCTGCTGCTGCTGCTGCTGCTACCGCGGCACCCGCAGCTGCAGCAGCATCAACACCCGCTACAACCGCCCTCCCTGCTGTTAACTCAATAAGAGCAGGGTCCCTCGCTGCACCTGCATCGCTACTCCCTGCGCCAGTGCCAGCTGGTGCGGCAGCAGTGTCAGCTGGTGCGGCAGCAGTGTCGGTTGGTGCAGCGGCGGCGTCAACTGATGACACTGCAGCAGCAGCAACAGCCGCAACTGTAGCTGTGGGCCCTGGAGACAAGATTGGCGGCAGCTCCAAGGGCGGCAGATCGACAGCAGGAACATCCAACAGAGCAGAAGGTGGCGGCAGTAAGGAAGGGGCAGGTAGGGATGACAGGCCAAGCAGGGTGGGAGGGTCAAGGAGCGTGGGGGTATCAAGCAGGGTGGTATCGGGCAGGCGCGGAGGCACTAGGGCGAGGTCCTGTATATCAGCAGTGTCGGAGACAGAAGCGGTCTCAGGGACAGAGGCAGTGATAGTGACAGAAGCCGTGTCAGCAAGCATGGGAGAGGGAAGGAGAGACGCTGGGTTAGAAAGACGGAGCGCTGGGGATCCAACAGGGACGCCAACAGGAGCTTCAGAGAGCATGGCCGTGTCCAGCAGCAGAGTGGCGTCGGGGGAAGCGGGGAGTTGAGGATTAGGGGATGTGTCATTCATCGCAGGGCCAGAGAGAATGGGAGACTCAGTTACTCGAGCAGCATCAGCACGTCCCATCTCCCTTCCTGCTCCTTCTTCCACTGCAGAGGCAAGACCCGCCACTCCGGCCCCTTCTCCCTCCCCTTCCTCTCCCCCTTCTCCTCCCCCTTCTCCTCCCCTTTCCCCTCCTCCCTCCGCTTCCTCTCCCCCTAACCCTCCCTTTTTCGTGCGTTTCTGACTGGAAACCGACCCCCATCCACCTTCTCCCACCTCCTCCGCCCCTCGTTTCCTTCTCTCCCCGTTCACTGGCCTGCAAGATAGTACGACACTGCCTCGAGTGCTGCTGGGTGGCACGTCCGTGGGCGGCAAAGTGTCCCCTAGATGGCTGCTGGGCGGCACACTGCTGGGTGGCACACTGCTGGGCGGCACGCTGCTGGGCGGCAGTGTAAGAGGCTGGGGGAGGGAGCCCGCGGAAGTAGCAGGGCGGAGGCTGGACGAGCCGTCCGCAGCTACAGGCGCGGGGGGAGGGGGAACGGGGGAAACAGCGGATGGCAGAAACGCAGGCGCGGACAGGCACGCGGGGGGGAGAGGGGGAGCGCAAGCGGAGTGCGCGGAGGGAGTTGATGGCGCAGATGCAGGGGCGGGCGGGCACGCGGGGGGGATTGGGGCCCGCGCGGGGTGGGCGGAAGGTGTTGTGGGCGGTGACGCCAGTGGAGGCGCTGGGGAGGAACGGGAAGGGCCGCGCGCGCAGGGCCCTAGAGGGAAGGCGGAAGCGGGGGTGCAGTGAGAGGGGGGGAAGCGGGGGAAAGCAGCAGGGGGGGGAGCAGCAGCGCGGGGAGCAGCAGACGCGATAGTGGATGGAGAAGGTTCCGCGAAGCCAGGATCAAGAGGCACTGATGCCTCTGGAACGCGGGGGAGAGACGGCAGAGAAGCAGAGAGCCGCATCGGTGGGGATGGAAGGGTGGGGGAGGGAGGTGGGGGCGATGATGACAATGACCCCAACCCAACTCCTGCTGCTGCGGCGGCTGCTGCTGCTGAGGCTGCTGCTGCTGTTGTTGCTGCTGCTGGGGTTGCTGCTCCTGCTGCTGGCGAAATGGATGAAATCGAGGCTGCTCGTATCGCGGATGCCTGAGGCGCCGTCACAGAATTTGCGCTCCTAGGATCAGTGCCCGGGGGATCTTTAACGGCTCCGGGTGGCGCAGCTGACGCAGCAGACGACACAGCGACAGGATTGTGCGACCCAAACGACGCGACATGCGACGCGCGCGACGTCGCATCTGGCGACCAGCGGCCAAAGCGACGGCGCATCGCCAGATCCAGCTGTCGCATCTGCTCGTGGGATCGCACACGTCGCATGGTAGCCATTGGTAGCTGCTGCGGCGACTGCGGCTGCGACTGTGGCTGCTGCAGCTGCCACCGCGGGTGCTGACGCTGTTGCCCCTGCGCATGCCCCTGCCCCTGCCACTCCGCCTGCGCATGCCCCTGCCACTCCCGCTGCGCCTGCCCCTGCCCCTGCACCTGCCCCTGCCACTCCGCCTGCCCCTGCTCTTGCCCAGCCGTCCATCCCCACACCTGCCCCTCTCCCCACGCCTCCCGCTGTCCCCGCCCCTGCGCCTGCGCCTGCCCCTGCGCCTGCGCCTCCACGTGGCTCTGCTGATCGGAGGGGGACGCGGAGATAATAGACTTGAGCGTGCTCACTAGGTTCGGGTGCATCACCGGCATAACCGGCCGCATAACCGGCGACAAAACCGGCTGCATAATCGGCTGCATAACCGGCGACATACCCTGCTGCAGAACGGGCTGCATAATCGGCGACATAGCTGGCTGCATAACCGGCGCGAGCGACGCAGGCGGTAGCTGCAGTGGCGCGGGCATCAGCAGCGGCGACATGCAGAGCTGAACCGCGGGGAGGCCTGGCGGAGCAGCGGGGGAAACTGCGCCTGGGGGTATCTCCGCGGGGGAAACCAAGGGGCTTCTGGGGAAACCCGCAGGGGGAACCGACCCAGCTGGCATGGTTTGCGGAACGGCGCGGGAAGTGGAAAGAGGATGTCCGACGCTTCGTGCCGGTGGCAGATACGGCGACGGAGGAGGAACAGCTGGTGTGAGGGCCGCGAGCGGGAGGCTGAGCGACGGGATTGCGACGGAATTCGTCGCCATGGCGTCGTCGGCGACACCCGGAGCTGCGACGGAAAGCACGCCGTAAGCCGCGGATGGGAGGAGGTAGTGCTCCTGAGATTCGTGGCTGGATACTGGAGTTCCCGGGGTTACTACGGTTGTAGCAGCGGCAGCAGCAGGGGCCGGAGCGTCGGCTGTAGCGGCGGCCGTAGCGTCGGTTGTAGCGGCGGTTGTGGCGTCGGCTGTAGCAGTAGCCGTAGACCATTGCTGAGACGGCACCCGAGGCAGCCGCGCTGGTGAAGCTACCGCGCTGCCAGTCGGCGGAGGAGGGGGAGGAGACGCGGAAACTGCAAGGGGAGCAAGAGACGAAACCCGAGAAGGCGAGCCTCGAGGAGCGAATGGCTCTGTCACGCCGGAAACACTAACCAGTGGAGGATTATCAGCTACCGGACTTATAACGGGTACAGATGCGGTTGAGGCTTCACCAGCCTTAACTCGCTCCGCAACTTGCGAAGTATCAGTATTAACCGGAGGATGAGTAAAAATTCCTGGCAACACCGAGGGAGTATCGGGGCTACATGGTCCTACTCGCATCGTGTGCTTGCAGCCGAGCTAAGAAAGCTAAGAAAACCAAGGAGCACGAGGCGATGCGAAACGGCGAACTCGGAGCGACAGCGGGAGGTGCGTGCAAGAAACACCAGATCCAAAGCATAGCTGAATTTCTTCGTCTCGAAAAAGTTCCAGGCACCTGACGGTCTACTACTGCATAAAACCAGGGCTTCCAACAGATTGCAGGAAGTCCGGAATAGAATCAGCGAACGAGATTCTCCAGAGATGAAGTCTCAAGTGACGAAATATTACGTCTCGATTCTCGACATCTCGTGCTCCGCTCTGCTCTGCTGATTGTGACTGAGGTGGCGCATCTCCCAGTCGCAGCCACAAGTGGCGGAAGTTATGAGAAGACCGACCTCGATGTTGCGTACTTTGTGTGGTGGAGAGCGGTAGCCATGGCCGGGAAAAGTGCAAGGCAAAATGCGGAATGGTGAAACCCTACTGGCTGCTCAGAGGCTTGACAGGAGGCTGACTGCAGCCCGAGCTGTCGCAGCCACTTATTCCTTGCCGCTGCGAACAGCTCCACTGTTTCTCGCTGCTGCAAATATTTCGCCTGTATTTCGCCTGTATTTCGCCAGTGGCAAGTGTTTGACCTAGGAAAGTTCGCAAAGTGGTTCCATGAGAAAGGTTTGACACGTGCTCGGTCGGGTGTTGGGGAAGGTGACAGGTGGAGAGGTAATTGTCGGAGGGTTGCGAGACGATGGCGAAGCGTTCGTTACAGGCACGGTCATTCAGCACTCAACTGGTTCTGATTTTGTGTCCACCCCTAATAGATTCTAAAACGTTAAAAAATGGTGCAATGCTTCCACAATGCAAACAATCAACGACAACTCATGTCGCTTCACTACGAAGCCTTCGACAGGACAACAATTTTATCTTTGTTAGACTACGTACCGTGGTTTCCTAAAAAGTGTTAGAAACCATCAGTTTCCCTTCATTTTTGTTGCATCTTGTCAAATGATGTTGCTGCGGCATTTGCAGCCTCCCTTCTCGCCTTCACTGCTTGCGCCAGAGCGGAGGCAAATTCTGCCAATCGACGACATAAAATGCTACAAGCTTTAATAACGGATCCAAACCAGCCGTGAAAAACAGGCATTCACCCCTCATATGTAATCCCTTGTACATGAGTGCCAGTACACCCAACCCAACCAAACGACGAACCACATGCTTTAAGATCAGCCTATCATACAACACATAAAAAACAAACACCATACATCTCACACATACACACCTTGTAACTCCTCGTCTGTGGTAACCATCTCGATGTCCAGCAACGTGAGCAGGCGATACAGATCCACCCCACTCGTCCAATTCTCCCTCACATTCCCGTGCCGCAGCTTCAGCCGCCCTCGGTTAGAAGTTCCCCCCCATATCATCCCCACAGGAACCAGCATCGGCTCTTGGTTGTGCCCAACCCCCTCCCACCCCTCTTCTCTTCCCTCTCCTTGCCCCGCCCCTTCTCTCTGTGACGGGCCTTGGGCCTGCAGGAGAGGTTCGGGGCAGGGGTTTGCTGCATCCTTGTGGGCAGTGTTGGGATCCAAGCTGTGATGCTGGTGGTAGTGGCATGTGTGGTGATGGTGGGGGCCGTGGGGGGGGTGGTGTTGTGAGTCCGGTTGATGCTGATGCTGATGCTGATGCGGTTGGTGTTGCTGCTGCTCGTGCTGCTGCTGCCCTTCATGGTGATGGTGGTGAGTGTGTGAGGTCTGCTGATGCTGCTGCTGCTGCTGCACCTCTTGCTGGTGATGCTGCTGGTCCTGCTGCTGGTGCTGTTGATCCTGTTGCTGCTGTTGCTGCTGCTGCTGCTGCTGCTGCTGGCCCACGTGTTGTTGCAATACCACTCCATGCTGCGTGAAACCATGCACGGACGCATGTGCAGTATCATGCACTGGAGCAGGCCCTGGGTTATGCACTGATGCGTGCACCAATGAATGCACCGATGCGTGCACCGATGCATGTGTGGGAGCATGCACGGGCGCATGTGTACCAGCATTCACGGGTGCGTGTGGCGCAGCATGCATGGGTGCATGCGGTGCAGCGTGCATGGTTGCATTCATTGGTGCATGCATGGCAGCATATGCCGGGGCGTGCATGAGGATGAGGCTGCCCGAGTCCCCTTCCACGTCGAACGGCAGCCCATCCTCGCCCACCACCAGCAGGTCAGTGAACAGCGTGTTGCCCTTGTCGTCGTTGTACTCCACCGCGTACGCCATCACTGTGCCGCGTGTCAGCCCCGAGCTGCTGCCCACCTGTGAGGGGAGGGTCAGGGTGGCAAGGTTGAGCTTTAGAGAGTTGGAGGTTCCGGGGTTAAGGGAGGAGGGGACGGAAAAGGAGGTGTGAGAACAAGGTGTTGCCCTTGTCGTCGTTGTACTCCACCGCGTACGCCATCACCGTGCCCGGGGTGAGAGCTGAGCTGCTCCCCACCTGGGAAAGGGGAGAGGGGAGAGGAGAGAGGAGAGAGGAGAGAGGAGAAAGGTGAGAGGAGAGAGGAGAGAGGGGAGAGGGGAGAGGGGAGAGGAGAGAGGGGAGAAGGGTGGGGGGAAGAAGGAACAAGTGGGGTTTGAAGGATTGGTGATGGATGGCACAGACACACACACGCACACACAGACACACACACACACACACACAGACACACACACACACACAGACGCACACGCACACACACACACACACACACACACGCAGACGCACACATACACACACACACAGACGCACACACACACACACACACACAGACGCACACACACACACAGATACACACTCACACAGACGCACACACACACACAGACACACACTCACACAGACGCGCGTGCGCACGCACACGCGCGCGCGCGCACACACACACACACACACACTCACACAGACGCACAGACACACAGACGCAAAAAACACGCACCTAGACGCAGGACACACACACACACAGACGCACACAGACGCACACACATGCAGACGCAAAAAACACACACACACACGCAGACACACATACACCCACAGAGACGAGCGCTTGTGCGAGTGCACACCGAAAAACACACACGCAAACGTGCTCTCGCGCGCACACAGACGCACACACACGCAGACCCACACACTGGTAGACGCACATGCACGCGCACACAGACGTGGATACACCCACCTTCCCACGCTCACACACATACCCACCCCCCCTCCCAGCACACACGCCATACCTTGCACAGGTTGGTGCCCCGCCATGCTGAAAATGTCATTCTGCAATCTGATCCCATGCACTACACATACCCACTCCCCCCTTCCAAACCAACATACCTTGCACGCATGCTGCGCAGCAATTTTAATCCTGAAATCTGATCCCATGCGCCACACATAACCACCTCCCCTCCCCTCCCCTCCCCTCCCACACACCGACCCACCCACGTTGCACACGTGCTGCCCCGCCATGCTGAAAACATCGTCCTGCAATCCGATCCAATGCACCACACATAAAGCCCCTCTCCCCCCCACTACACCAAACCCACCCCACCCCACCCCACCACCCAACCACCCACCTTGCACACGTGCTGCCCCGCTATGCTGAAAATATCGTCCTGCAATCTGATCTGGTGTGGCTTGCCGATCCGCCCAATCCCCTCCAGCCACGTGGTCAGCAGAGCCGCGTCAAACTCCTCATGGAACGGAATAAACGCCCCGTCTGCCCGAACAAAAGTTTCCGGGCTCTGCCCGGCAAACACGCCGTACCAGAGGTGGTCCGAGGCAAACGACGAGGCTCGGTCCACCGAGCCTAGGTACTTCCCCGGGCCTAGCGAAGACGGCAGCGGGTGAAACATCTTCTGCTTCGGCTGGTCAAAATCGACTGCCACGTGTCTGTTTGTCAGAAACCCTAACGCGTGCGGCTCTGTCACACTCCTAACTACAGCTCCTAGCGTCCCGTACATTTCCTCACTAGCAATCTGCGACCCTGGACCGATCCTAGAGCCACCGCCTCTTAATCTCTCCACTAATTCGTTACTAATCTGCGGCTGAGTCGGACTAACCCCCCCTGCTTGTCCACCATAGCAGGAAAATTCTACTATGTCCACATCGCACTCGTACCCGTCTGGACCCTGCAGCTTGCTAGGAAGCATCTGGGCCGGCAGCAGCCACTGCTCATGCACCTTCCGAGGCACGAAAACAATTATTGCTGGGAGGTCCGTCAGGATTCCGTTCCTGGTGCGCAGGCCCAGGGCTGTGCCGAGGCTGAACCGCCGAAGCTGCTCGCTGTGGCAGGCTCGGATGAGCATGAGCTGCCCGATCCTGCTGGCGGCTCGGCGCGGAGGTGCGGGAGGGTAGTGGAGTGAGAGGGGGGCGGTTGAGAGGGAGAGGGCGGTTAGGTGGGGGTGCGCATCGGCATTCAACCCCGCATCTGACCCAGCATTCAAATCCGCATTCAAATCCGCATTCAAATGCACGTTTATTTCCGCATTTAGATGAGGATGTAAATTGGGATCCAAGTCTAAAGCCTCATCCCGAGCCTGGGGTGTACGAGTGTCTGCGGCTGCTCGGTGTCTCTTGTCTCTGTTGCAGAGAGGCTCCTCGCTGCTTTCTCTATCTCTTCTTCTCCTGCCTTCTCTCCCTTCTCCTCCGCCCTCTCTCCCCTCCTCCCCTCCCTCCCCCCCTTCCTCTCCCGCCCTCCCTTCGCCTGGCGGCTTATCTGTGCAAGTCTCCCCAACGGCAGCAGCACCCGGCGCAGCAGCAGAGGACCCAAGCGCCGATCTGTCAGCCGTAACAGGGCGGACACCAGACGGCAATTCTTGCTCGGCTCCTGATCCAACCTGACCAGCCGGCGTACGCGTTACAGCAGGCTGCGTTTGTAGACCCTCGACTGCAGCAGGAACGCCCGGTGTAGAACCACTTCTAGGTGCAGATCCACGAGCCACGGACCCCATCACCCCCATCCCTCCCATCCCTCCCATCCCTCCCATCCCTCCCATCCCTCGCATTTCATTGGCCGGATCCGCTGCTGCCTGCGCGTCATTGGTGGGCGCGGCGGGCGTTCCTGCAGCTGCTGACGTGTATTGCGATCTGGGTGATGTGTACGGCGCGGCCGGTGACGTGTACTGCCGGAAGTACGCTTGACGGCTAACCGGCGATTCTCGCAGGTCCTGATCCGTCGGCCACCGGACGTAGCGAGGCGTGGGAGACGGTTCGTGCTGCCCCGCGGATTCGAATGGCTGGAGGGTCGGTCGATTGCCGGACCTAACATACCGGATCGGAGGCTTGCGTTGGTATCCGAACCCGTAGCCACTGGCTCGGACAAACCCATTCCTGATAGGTCTGGATCCCCACGCATTGCCGAACCTGCTGGATCCCGAACCTAGATCCGAGGCAGTGCTGATCCTACTGGAGTTTTCCAGGCCTAGGCTTGTTGAGGGTTTATGAGTGCGTGTACTGGTGAGACTTGAAGTGAGTTGCTCGTCATTTAACGACCAATGAACGGCTGAACGATTTTTTCCGCCAGAGCTCCTAAAAGTAAAGCCGTTGCTGCTCTCTCTGATGCTGAAGCCTGAGGAAATGGATGGATTAAAGCCGTAGTGATTGTGTCGCGTGCTAATCCCGCAGCCGCTGCGGCTGCTGCTGCTGCTTGCAGCGCTATTATTGTTATGGGAACCTCCTGTGCCCGCCATAATTTACTTGTAGCCTGAGAAGAGAAGCAGCTGATATATTTCTAGTAATTCGCACCTAACAGATCACCAAAGGCGGTATAGTAGTAATGGTCATCGCTGGGATGCGCTCCGAGTTTCAGAGATACACCTATCCCGCGCCATTTTCTCACCCAGCAAATTCTCAGGTTTTGTCGCCTTCATGGACCACCCACCAGCTGCCGCCCCAAATTCAAGCGTGTGAAAAATCGGAGCTTTCGGGGAGGGTGAGTCGCACTTCGCCAAGTCAGCAACCAGCTGACCTCAGCGATGAATCCTCCCCCATCTCAGCCCGAATACCACCATACAAAAGGAACCCAAATTGAGGCGCATGGAAAACCACGTGTACACCTGCGATTTGTCTACGAGGACTGCGATGCCTTTTCTGCTGTTCTTTTTTAATATCTGAAAGTTTTGATTTTGACCGTGGTTCTGTATGTTTGGGCAATAATTCTTTGCTTAATGTTTTGTTGAAACGCTTCTGTTTGCTATTTGCTGATTTTCAAGTCTGATATTGTGTACACTAAATTGCCCGCTTGTAATTTGTGACCTCCGCGCCATGTCGAGGAAGGTAGTGTGGCGCTGAGTCATCACTTTTTTGGTGCTTGCAGAGTGAGAGCCAGTTTCGCGCGCTTGCTTTATGAGAAATTAGCGCCAATGTAGAAGTTGGTGCTAATTTCTCACCCCACCACTAACGACAACGTACAGAGGTTTGAGAAAATGGCGCGGGTGGGTGCAACCGTTATCCAGCACCAGCACGTGCGAACCAAGGGGTGCACGAAGGGTGTGTCCCCAAGAGCACGATCCCCGCACATTCTATGAGGTCCAATATGGTTCCTTAATTTTCAAAGCGGTGAAGCACGAAAAACCGTTTCCCAATGTGTTGGACGGTATGCCAGCGCATTCAGTGAATGGGGGACATACTCTTGGGACACGTTCTCAGAATTGTCCTTTCCACTTCTCGATTAAAACGAACAGCTAAGACGAGCATATTGACTTGCAGAACCGTACTGAAGTGAGATGGGTTCGCCAGGGCTGTCAGCAAGGCCGAGGGATTTTCTGTTGGACAACGGTATTGTACAAGTGTATCACAAGCAAACAGACAAACACGCAGCAATGTGTTTAGGGAGTGGCTGGTGGAGGGGAGGAAGGGACGGGTGTGTTTGCGAGGTGAGGGAGGGGAGAGCTCAGGGCTGTCTCCAACACACTGTGGCTCCAGCAGGTTGGGCTAGCGCGGAAAAAAAACAAGAGGCGACGAGATCGTCTTAGGGTTGCGGAGCATTTCATTATGAGACTTTATTATACATAAAATGTTTTATTTCCATATCACAATAAACATTTGATTTTTATTTCACAAACTTGAAAAAAAAAACCAGCCCGATCGATTGCAATAGGTTGCTTCGCAACCCAAAAACTTCAAAACGCTGGTGTGGAACACCGCTGAAGTACACATTTTTCCCTCTATGGTTCCACCCTGAACAGTCCAAATTGCAATCTCACTACCAGGTTCTCAGCATGACTCGCGTTGACACTGAACCTGATTGGCTGCAGTCTGAACGATAACGAACTACCAAATTGTATTTCGACAATTGCGAGTTTCAGATCTGGAACGTCGCGCAGGCAACCAATCTATTGCATGAGCGAGGTTTTGTAACCAAGTGTCATTGCTTACTGTGAGATTTCCCCTTCAAAGTCCCGTTTGCCCGTGTTTTACAATTTCCTGCTTACAGGCTTAGGCCGCGTGCAAAAACCGAAGGACTAAATAGAAGAACAAGTGTATGTATTGAACCATTTATCCCACGCCCCGCAAACTTGGCAGAGCTGGTGAGGCGGATAACTGCGTCAGAGGCGTGACATGACAGTTGACAGCTCCACCAAGTTATAAAGCTGCTTCCTTACGCGAAACTGAAGCTCGCTCGGCGAAGCCTAACCCTCGCTTGAAGATTTTGCCTCACTTTCCTTCGTTAGCCAATCACAGCTCGCCGCCCCACAACCTCAACAGTGCAAACATGGAAACACTTTACTGTAGCTTGTCGTGTTCTGGACTGTAGCTTGTCAATTGCGCAAGTGGGTCTTGTCGTAACCGTCACTGTAGCTCGTCGTTAGCTCGTCATTGTAGAAGTTGCCCGGTGAGAAAATTTCACGCGATACAAGTCATATTCCCCTGAAACCCGCGGCGCGACCCGAGACATTTCCAGGAATATATGACGCGCGTTTTGTTCAGGCGGACAAAACCCCTCCCGGACCTGGCAGGTGTTATGAGTGGGACTGGAACAGCCACTCAATAATGGGAATAGAACCTCCGAAAATAACGCGTCTGCAAGTGACGAGCGAACTGGCTAAAATAGGGCACGGATGTGCTAGGACGAGCTAGGGAGAGGACCTTGGGACGTGAATGGTTTGGTTGGGTGTCGAGGATGTTGGAACGCGACTCGGGGAGGTTTGGGCCGACAATAATGGCCGAACCTGCGAGTTCGAGGTCTTCGGGTGTACGCGCTGTAGTTCAGCGCACTAAGGAATGTTAATTCCTTACAGCAGGACTGTAAGTAATTCCCATTCCTTACTGAGTCGCCCGCTACAGCGTACACCCAAACACTACGATTCGTCACGTTCGGCCTACATTCTCGGCCCAACCCTTTCTCGAGTCGCATCCGACAGTGTCGCCACATTGCCGAACCTACCCACGTCCCGAGGTTATCACCCAATTACGTCTACCCCTATATAACCCCGTGCTTTCATTGCAATAGTGACCTTGTATTATCACGTTATAGTACATTGACATCTTCTAAATCATAACAGCTGGTATCAGAGCCCGACCTTTCCCGGAACCTTCCGTTTCCCCGTTTAATTGGTTAAGGGTGGTCAGAGGGGATTAACACGGCTGCACAGCAGTTGTCTTCGATCGTAAATATTTTTACGTCAACAACTACAGTGTGTGTGCTAGTTTCTGCCCCGTCCTGACCGCCATGGCCCCGGTAGACTCGACGGTTGAGGAATAGACGACCTCGACTGCGGTGAACTCTGCCCGGGAAACTGTGGACCTGCAAGCACTAATGGAGCAGTTGAATAATTTGACAAGCGTCGTCAACAACCTCCGTGACGAGAAACGCTTCAGAGGAGCCGGGCGACGATGCACGAAGCGAGGCGGGTGAGCAGCCACCGTCGCCAGTGGAGCTGGCACGACTAGCGGCGACAGCCCCGCGCTCGACAAGTGGCGGCGTGAGATATCAGCAACCCGCTCCTTTCGACCCAGCTAATAAAGGCGTGACAGTGCGGCTGTGGATATTCGCCATGAATATCTACTTTAACGTGGAGGGCATCCGAGACGATCAGAAGCGGATCAGCCATGCGTTGACACTACTGCAAGGGGCAGCCCTACAGTGGTGGAAGGTCATCGTCGACTGAGCGGCAACTCGCACAGAAGGACAGCATGAGTGGTCCGAAGAATTCGGCGACGAAGACGAGGCAGATTTGCTGTTTGGTGCAACTCACATTCGCACGTGGGCAACGTGGTGCGCAGAGCTTCGCAAGCGGTTTGAGCATGCTCCTGACTTAGACAAAGCGCGCAAGACTCTACGCATGTGGAAATAGCTGGGATCTGTGTCCGACTACACCGCGTCATTCTTGACGTTGGTGGATCGGTGCGGCTACATGCACGAGTTGGAGAAGGTCGACATGTACATGGGCAGGCTGAAGCCTAAAATAGAGTACCAAATAAAATTACAGCGACCTGCGAAGCGGTTACAGGACTTCATCCAACTCGCCGAAGCCGCTGATTCGCTCACGAAGCCGAGGACGAACTTCTATGACGGAGGTCGCCCTCGAGAACAGTACCACCGCGCCACGATAAAAGGGATGGACGCAGTGGATATTTACGCAGTTGCTCCGCAAAATACGGGGCTATGCTACCACTGTGACCGACCGGGTCACATCAAACGCAACTGCCAGGAATTCATAGCCATACAGAATTCTATGGGGAAGAAGCCGGAGGAGCGACCGGGAAATGGGTCGCGTCAGTAAGTGCCGGGCCCCTTACTGATGGGCAGGCTTCTTCGTCCGAGCCACACAGTCCCCACCGGGTCGTGATCCCGATTGCTGCAATCGACCGGACCCGGACGAACACGTAAAATTTCGGATGTGGCTGCTGGCGACTACACTTGACGGGTGCGACGTGCTGCTGGGACGGGACTGGCTGCGACAGTACAACTCGAGGATAGAGTGGACGATGGGCAGCTGCAGCATAAAGCTTGATGGGATCTATCGCGAGTTACTGAAATGGACGGGACCCCGCATGCGAAGTACCCAAGTCCACGCGATCACTTTCAAACGCGCGATAAAAGCGGGAGCTGCAGCGTACGCCGTTGATCTTCGCGAGGTGACGTCGCCGACCACTGCCGAAGATATCGCGAAGCTGTGTGAAGCCGTTCCCCCGGTTTTAGTGGACCCGATTCGAAAATACCCCGAGATTTTCCCCGACGACCTACCCGCTGGACTTCTGCCAAGCCGACCCGAAGACCACCGCATCGAGCTAGAACCGGCCGCACAACCGACAGTACAGTGACAATTTCGGCTCAGCCAACCAGAACTCGAAGAATTGCAGCAGCAGCTGGATTACCTTCTGACGAAGGGTTTTATCCGGCCCAGCACGTCCCCATACGCCGCCCCGATACTATTCACACCGAAAAAAGATGGAGGATTCCGCATGTGCATCGACTACTGCGCGCTCAACCGCATCACCATCAAGTCCCGTTACTCGATCCCTCGAGCCGACGAGCTACTCGACCAACTTTGCGGAGCCAAGTTCTTCTCGAAAATCGATCTGCGAGGAGGTTACCATCAAATTCGCGTCGCTGCCGAAGATTGCCACAAAACTGCATTCCGAATCACTACGGCAGTTACGAATACCTGGTGATGCCCTTCGGCCTCACGAACGCACAATCGACTTTTCATACGACCATGAACGGCGTTATCCGGGAACTCCTGGATAAATGATCTT